CCTTGTCGAAACGTTGTACATTTGCTGTCATGTTAAGCTTATATTAAAGTTTTTCTTCATTACCCATTTAAGCTGTCTCCAGCCTTTTAAAATTCTATTTTTACTTCATAAGTAGAACTGATTGATTTCTCTAGTATTTATTTTCACATCAATGCAATATTTATTTCTCTTATTAGACAAAATGGTACAATATGATAGTAACAGTCAAGTTTATAATGCATGCAGTGATTACTCTATTTTTGGAAGACACTATTATTAGATAACACCAAGTGACTTATCTTTAATTTTAATAATGCATGCAGTGATTACTCTATTTTTGGAAGACACTATTATTAGATAACACCAAGTGACTTATCTTTAATTTTAATAAAAATTAAGTTTAATCTTTGTGTTCTATTAAATATGAATATTTTTTTTGTTTAACTTTTTTAAGCATAAAATACATTTTAATATTAAAACTTTACCTTAAAATAAATTTCAAACAGATACTTATCCCTAGCTGGGATACCTTCTACCCAGTCTCTTTTCAGATATTAGCTTTTTTATGAAAATGTTTATAGTAGAAAGTTTGCTTCCTAATGGAATTCATTAAATGATAAAATGATATAAATATAATTCTTTGATATAGTTTGGTAGGATTATGGTAAATTAACTCATTAATTACCTAACCACAAGGTAGTCTGGTAATAATACTCATAGTAAAAAGCCTTATAATTGAACAATTATGAAGACAGCAGCTTTTATTTTTGTAGCACTTGACCAGTTAACCAGATATCTTGGTCCCAGAGTCAATCTCGTTTCACTCATATATAATGTTTGTGTTAGAATATGTCTTTCACTGATTCCTAGCAGGATTTACCAAACAGTGATAGTAAAATAAAACAAATGTAAGTCTGTGATACATTTCATAAAATAGGGATAAGCACAGTTCTGGTTGAAAACAGACACAGCCAAGTCCAAGACTGGTTCCCTAATCTTGAGGAGGCAAATAATGGTAAAAAATGTGTTATTTTTAAAAGAAATCTGGTCCATATTAACTTAATATTTAGGGATTCATGTAGAATTATTTATCTTGCTACAAGCTTAGTTGATTCAACTGAGTTCTTGAACCCAAAAGGGCCATCAGTTTCATATTATAACTTTTAATATGTTTTTGTGTATCTTCACAAAATTTGACAGGCTTTCAGTAAACATTACAAGTCTTTTGTACACAAAAAAACAGAGCATTTGCTACTCCAAATGCAAAGTGATTATTATATTAACATTAAAAATACTTTTATCTGAAACTATGAAATTTTATTTGCATGATCTTTAAAACCTCATAAATTAAATATAAAACATTTTCTTTATGTAAAACTTTATATTTTATGTTATTTACTCCACCCTAACTCTATATCCATTTAGTCAACTTAACTGACCTCATAATCACAAAAAAAAAAATCGGAATAAATCTCAATTATCCTTATTTCTTTTTGGAATGACTGCAAACTGTTACATGGAACTACAACTGTATGTCCTAAATAGCTTAAAGCTCATAACAGTATACATCTGTTTATACTTAATAATCCCACCACACAAGTTGTAAATCAATCAGCAAACGTGTAGCTCCCGTTACTGTATTAAATTACATAACACACGAGCATACCTCATGAAGAATTATTATTATTTTTCATTACCTTAACCAATGTAACCTAATCAGTTTCTAATTTTTACATTTTAGTTACTTTTATAATAATAAATAAAGAATGCACATGAAAAACAATAAATATAGTATCTACCTCCTCCTCATTTTTTTGTTAACTGTTGATGATACTTAAGCCTACCTTTTTTACTAATGTACTACTACACTAAAGAATCTTTATTTAATTAAATAATGTACCTAAGAACACAAAATAATAACATACACAAAGCAAACAATGTCCTATAACTATCATAATTTATCTGTATTTCTAAGTATGACAAAAAAGTTTCAAACTGAAGGCAAGATAGACAATGCTCTGTACAGAAAAAAAAACAACACAATACAATATGTCATTTGATATATTAAAACTTTGCCTTTCTATATAGTCATAAATAACACAGAATTAAACATCAGAGAGAACTATTGGCAATTTAAGAATGAGAGGATGTGACAAGTGGGTCTGATTTTCCACTTTATGCTGTGTAAACAAATAAAATTGAAGGTAATAAAAAGCGTGTTTTGCCTTAGTAACATCTATGTTATAATGAATTATGTATGTTAAATTCCTTACTTCACATAGGTGTTGTAAATAAATTAGAGAAGAGGGAAGACTTAGAGTACAAATGTCACAATTCTCATACTATGGGATATTGATGATTTTTAAAATATTTGCTTATAAAATTAAGAATTTAAAACTTATATAATATCAAAATTTGATTATCATTAATTACATTTTGATGCCAATGTTATTTGTATACAATGATAATAAAGTTTAATTAAATTTTGAATGTAACTCTCTTTAAGGTCATGACACGTACACTTTAACCTACCCCTTGTGAAAGGGTTAATATTAATATTAACATTACTGCTTCTATATTGTGTATCTCCTATATATTAATTCACAATAAGAAAGAAAAAACTTTTCACAACAGAACATTTACTTATTTCAATCTTAGGTTTTCCAGATATTAAGGACTATTAATTTGAAATAAAACTTTAATAATTTCATGTAATTTGTGTCTTTTTATCATTGACTTTCATCAGTATTTTCATTTCAAAACAAACATGACAACAAAACATGCTAGTTCTAATATGGCACTAATATATCCAACAGTGCCAAGCTTGATTTAGAAAGACTGTCATTGATAAATCATGTTTTTAGACTCCAGTGTTTACTTCTGGGAGTTGTTCAAAAGGTTTTCTGTGGCATATGTAAGTGAATATCATTTTCAGCATCCAACTAATCAATTTTAGCCAATCACTGTTTCTCAACTTTGGCTGTCATGTTGTGATGTAAGTGTATGCATCTAAGCCATAAGCTAGTGATCTAAACATGTAATGAAAGTTCTTCTCTATTGTCTAAGCTAATATATATTCTAGCTCAGTGAAGACTCATGCAGATTGGAACAGTGATAAAAGCTTGTTTGTAAACAACTTCCACCACAATTACAGTTTTGATTTGTTTTAAAGCTTGCAGAAAGCTTTATTTTGCAGTATGATAGGAAATGTTTTTTGTACAACAAGATGAGTTAGGCTTTGTTGGATCATTTTTCACTTGACCATATCAAGTTTTGTTTTACAAAAAAAATTTACGAATATATATACATAAATTAATACAAAATTGGTTTCAAATTTATTACACAGAATTAAAGAAACCTTCTGATTAACAATTTACCTTATAAGTTACCTTTCTTATCATTTTCACATGGTAAAAATTGTATAATAGTGATCATAGTGTGGTGTCTTTCAAATCAAAACTAAGTTAAGATTTACAGTTTTATAAAATAAATCTTTAGAGGATCTTTTTGAAAGTTTTACAAGAATGTAGGAAGAGAAAAAAATCAGTAATTGAAATATATAACAAAGGAAAGAGTATTAAAAAAACATATCACAATGAAATATTTTCAAATTTTCAAAGCTGAATTCATACAATTATCACACATAAAAACTAATGTTATTTGCAGTCATAGTATGTAAAAGTCATTTCAAGTTTCAAACTACTTTATCCAGTAGTTTATTTTTGCAATACAATAAACAAACCATACTAGTGCATCGAACTGATAAACCCTATGCATTTCAAATTAAAAGCTCTAAAACATTAAAAAATACCAAGCATATTTAA